GGATTGGTTGTCTCAAAATTGCGCAATGATTGATTGCTGTGGCAAGAGGTTGATATTATCTCACGAGAAGCCCTCGGTTTGTCCGTCTCCTTTTCTGTCTGTCTATCAAACCATTAAAGCCTTGAAGGCTGGTGATCTGGGTTATGTTTTCTTGGGTGGATTGGTGGGTGATAAGGAGATAGAGATTTCTAGTATTCCGGTGGTTAATGAATTTGTGGATGTTTTTCCTGATGAGATATCGGAATTCCCACCTGAGAGAGAGAGATTGAGTTCTCTATTGAATTGTTGCCTGGTGTGGGGCCTATCTCTTTGGTTCCATACCGGATGTCGCCACTGGAGTTGGCTGAGTTAAAGAAACATATTGAGGAGCTATCTGCAAAGAATTTTATCAGACCGAGTGTGTCTCCGTGGGGAGCACTAGTTATATTTGTGAAAAAGAAGAATGGAAGCATGAGGTTGTGTACTGACTACCGGCAGTTGAATAAAGTTACAGTTAAGAACAGATACCCATTGTCGCGTATTGATGATTTGCTGGATCAGTTGAGGGGTTCCTGTGTATTTTCCAAAATTGATCTCCGGTCCGGATACCACCAGATCCGGATTAAGCCGGAGCATGTGCCTAAAATGGCATTCCGTTCTAGATACGGACACTACGAGTGTCAGGTGATTCCTTTTGGGCTTACTAATGCCCCTGCGGTGTTCGTGGACTATATGAATCACATTTTTAAACCGTATTTGGACCAGTTTGTAATTGTATTCATCGATGACATCTTAATTTATTCCAAAAGTGAAGAGGAGCATACGGAGCATCTGAGGACTGTGTTGCAGATATTTAAGGATAAAAACTTGTATGCAAAGCTGTCTAAGTGTGAATTTTGGTTATCTGAGGTACAATTTCTGGGTCATGTTATTTCCGCTAGGGGTGTTGCAGTGAATCCAAACAAGATTCATGTTGTAATTGACTGGGAACGACCGAAGACTGTGACTGAGATCCGGAGCTTTCTGGGTCTTGCTGGGTATTATCGTAGATTTAGAGAGGGGTTTTCCACAATGGTACTGCCGTTGACCCGATTGACACGAAATGATACTCCTTTTGTGTGAACCCAAGAATGTGAGAAATATTGTCTGGCTCTTAAACAGAAGTTGACTACTGCTCCTGTGTTGACTCTTCCCGATCCGGAAGGTGAGTTTGAATTATACTGTGATGCTTCAAAGAAAGGTTTGGGGAGTGTGTTGATGCAAGAGAGGAGAGTGGTTGCTTATGCTTCTAGACAATTGAAGCCTCATGAGGAAAATTATCTAACGCACGACTTGGAGCTTGCTGCTATTGTATTTGCCTTAAAAATCTGGAGGCATTTTCTGTATGGGATGAAATTTGCTTTGTTCAGTGATCACAAGAGTTTGAAATATTTGTTTAATCAGAAAGAGCTGAATATGAGACAACGAAGATGGGTGGAATTCTTAAAAGATTATGATTTTGAACTGAAATACCATCCGGGTAAAGCTACTGTGGTAGCAGATGCCTTGAGTAGGAAGTCTGTCAGCGTGTCCCAGCTGATGTTTTGGGATAATGAAGTGATTGAGCAATTATGTGATTTGAAATTGATGGATGTCTTTGCAGGTAGGATGGATGAATTTGAGTGCTTACGGATTGAAAATGAATTACATGAGAAAATCAAAGAAACTCAGATACGGAACAACAGTATCAAGTATTTGAAAGGACATAGGGGCATATCTTTGAATGAACAGAGATTATTAATGTATCAGGGCAGGATTGTTGTGCCCAAGGGGTTAGCAGAGGAGGTAATGGTTGAGGCCCATAAGGGTCAGTATTCTGTCCACCCAGGTGCCACAAAAATGTATCAAGATCTAAAAACTAAGTTCTGGTGGCCTGGGATGAAGAAGGATGTTGCTGAGTATGTAACAAGGTGCTTAATTTGTCAGAAAGTCAAGATAGAACATCAGAAACCTGCTGGTTTACTTCAGCCATTGGATATACCAGAGTGGAAATGGGAGAGCATCTCTATGGATTTCGTTGTTGGTTTGCCTCGGACTCAGGCTGGTCACGATTCAATTTGGGTTATAGTGGACAGGCTTACAAAGTCTGCACATTTTCTGCCAGTGCGAGTGGACTTCTCTACGGAGAAAGTAGCAAAATTGTATATGAAAGAGATTGTAAGGCTCCACGGGATACCGGTTAGCATTGTTAGTGATCGGGACCCGAAATTTACTTCTCGCTTTTGGGGAGCCTTGCAGCAGGATTTTGGCACTCAGCTCAGGCTGAGCACTGTGTATCATTTGCAGACTGATGGTCAGACTAAGAGGACCACTCAGACACTTGAGGATATGCTGAGAGGTTGCACATTGGAGCAGGGCACAGCTTGGGACAGGTACTTGTCATTGGTGGAATTTTCTTATAATAACAGTTTTCATTCCAGTCTGGGCATGGCACCGTATGAGGCATTGTATGGACAGAGATGTCGTACTCCTACTTGTTGGACTGAGGTAGGTGATAAAGACAAATTTGGGCCAGATTTTATGCAAGAAACTACATCACAGATTAAAATGATCAGAGAGAAACTTAAATAGGCACAGAATCGGCAGAAAAGTTATTATGATAATAGACACAGACCGCTAGAATTCGAGGAAGGTGATCATGTATTTGTGCGGTTATCTCTAGTTACGGGTGTTGGTCGTGCATTGGGCGTGAGGAAGCTGAGTCCTCGGTTTATTGCGCCGTATCAGATAATGAAAAGAGTGTGAGTGGCCTTTCAGCTTGCCTTGCCCCCACAGTTGTCGAATTTGCACGATGTGTTTCATGTATCGCAGCTGCAACGTTATATTCTGGATGAATCACATGTGGCGATACTGGATGATATTGAGATTCGAGAGAATTTGAAGACTCTTGTTGGTCCTATTGATGTCCTTGACCGCAGTGAGAAGAGGCTGAGAAGTAAAAAAATTCTGATGCTAAAGATTCAATGGGAAAGACGTACACCTGAGGAGGCTACTTGGGAGCGGGAGGATGAGATTCTCCAGCTGTATCCTAAGTTAGCGAACAGTTATGATTTAATTTTGCGGACAAAATTTCAAAAATGAGGGGTGAATATAACACCTCGCATTTCTAAATCATATAATATATTAAATGAGTATTAAAGGGAAGGATTAGTGAAAATCCTGGAAATTAGGCTAAAATACAAAGAAAGGGTAAAACAGTAATTAGCCACACACGCAACCTAGGAAGGTAAATTTGAGTGGAAGGTCTCAAATGATGAAAATAACCCTTAAAATGGATTCAGAATGAAAAATTGAGTGGATAGGCAAGTTTTAGGAAATTCAGTGAATAATGTTTTTACTAGGTAAAAATACTGCAATACGATTGCACCGTAAAATGCGTCGATTGAGTTTTGAGCTCTAAGTTTGGATGTAAGTTATAAATGGTGTATAGGACTAGGAAATATGATTTCTGATGAAGTTTGGGGAAGCATGCCTACGGCGCGCGTAACAGCTTAAAATTGCAGTTTCTCCGAACGACCGGAAAACTCAGGATTCATCTGATCAAGGGTAATTAAAAGACAGTGGTTAATGTTAAAAATTAGAGTTTCTAAATAGGTTATGAATTTACGGACGTTTAGTGGAATCGAAGGAAAATTCGAATTAGTTTGAAATCGCATGAGGTGGCGGTGGTGTGACACCCTCCCCTGTATGCATCCAGGAGAGTTGTCTGCTAAGCGGATTAGAGTCGTAATGTTACGAATAACTTCTGAAATTTTGTTTTTAGGCCTCGTTAAAATTTTGTATTCAGATCTGGTCAAAAGAAATTAAAACAGTGTGAAAACTTAGTGAAATACATGGCTTGCTGAAATAATCATTTTCCTGAAAACCTGTCTTCGTGCAAAAATCATAATAAATCTTGCTTTCAGAATTTCATTGTAAACTTTATATAATCAGAAACTAGACACGTGGGGCTTCGCGCGCATATAAATTATAAGCAATTCGGAGGTCTGTAGCCCCACTAAATATAACTTGCAAAGTGCTCGCAAAACAGTTTATAAAACTGCATTCAAAACCTTAAGAAATAGTTTTCGCAAAACGTTTCCAGAATTTTTCCAAAGTCCTAACTGATCATAAAAATATTAAAACAGTAGCCAAATCCTGCTTCTAACAGTAACCCAAACTTCACAAAATGTTACAATATTACAGTCATCCAACAGACAACAGTTAACAGCAGAAATCCAAACAGCAGCAGGTAACAACAAAAATCCAAATAATAACGTCATCAAATGCTTTTCCGTCCTCTTGCAATTTTGTAAAAATTGAGCCCCAAAAGGGGTGAGAAAAATCCCAGTAGTGTGATAGCAAAACCAATAATGCAACAATATTAAACTAGACACATAATTCCAAAACAGTCGCATCAACAGTAAAATTTCGTATAGCTGCTAATCATCATCTTATTGCGTATATAACGCCATGGTCATGTACATTCATAATAGTCATGTTAGTGCGTATATAACGCCATTTCCTTGTACATTCATAGCACCGTCGTGCACGTACTAACATACACAGTGGATATTCCATGATGGCTCCTCAAAGGTGAATTCCAACTGTGGCCTATGCGGACGGAAGCCAAGTGTCCCATACCCTGGTACCGAAGGGATGCCTATATGATGCGTGCTCAAACGTATGCATATTTATATAAATATTCTAATCCATGAGCAGCATGAAATTTGTGCATGTATGCCATGATATGCTTTACACACAAACAAGAAACAAATGAATTATGAGGTGTATATGCATGACTAGATCATTATCATAATAGCGTATATTTCAGGCTGCCACTTAAAAATTCCAGCTCATAATAAAACTTCCATCATGACAAGTCCATAGTCAGAATATTCGTATAATATTTAACAACATAATCATCAGGCACATGTGAGCAACATTTCACAACTCTACACACTAGTTAATAGTCACATTAGGTAATACCACCTAACACTTACCTCACGTGTCACAAAAATTTACCAGGCAGCAGCGAAAATAGTCCAAGGTCCTAAGCATTTTGCGCACCTAGTATATCAACGTACAAATCAGAATCGTTTTCCATATTAATTCTTATACGCAGCAATGTTTTCACTCCTTTCTACCCCAAAATCCCAATCGGTTTTTCCATGGTTTCTTTTACCAACAAAATTCCGATTTCAAAACTAATTTAAACAGCAAGAAAATTCAAGTCTATTATACATGCAGTATCGATTTAAGCTAGTACTAAGTGCACAACATTTAATCGATTACGTAGTCTCCCTTACAAGACCTATAGTGCGCTAGAGAGAGTCGTCGAACAAGCTGTCCAATTATTTTATTACATGCAAAGCTATGTCCGTTAATCTAGTTTCATAAAATAGTCTAACCAGTAATGGGGGTCATTTCCTAAACTCCAAGAACGATTCTAGGACATGCATACAGCAAGAGTTTACGGCTGGAGCGAAATTAAAGGAGAGATTACAAATCAGAAATTGTAACTTCCTATAACTTGCATGAATTTAACTCAACATGCCAACTAGGTCGAACCATAAAGGGATGAGAAATGGTTGGAGATGACTTACAGTTTCTTGGCTCTTCACACCAATGCTTCCAATCGGCCAAAGAGTCGACCTTCCTCCCCAACGTTCCAAGAACTCTAGCTCACGCACATGTAACGGAGGAGCTGACTCAACAGAACAGAACCTCATTCAGTCAAAATAATCATCCACGAGAACCGATTGGCGTGTGTGTAGAGAGGAATAAGGAGAATAGAAAACACTCACCTCTTTGAAAGAGGTCTTCGGCCAGCAAAGAAAAGAAGAAGAAACGTTGAACTATCCTTGCTTCCTGCTCATGGAGCTCTAGGTTACAAGATAGGAGAAGAGGAAAAATGGAGTATTCTAATGACAACTAGGTTGGTGGGGTTCTATGAAGGTGGTGACGGTTTTAGCAAAGATGAATGGGATAGTTTGTCATTTTTCATGGTGTCTCTACCCTACCAAAGTTACGGTTTTTAGGTGGAAGGAGGAGATGGAATGGCTGAGTTCTTTGTTTTGATTTAGTAAAATTAGTCCTCAACTTATTCTCCCACACATTCAGCGCCTAGGGGAGAAGGATGAGTGTTTGAGCTGATTTAAAAAGCCATTAAGATTCAGAAATGTACTAGACTCCCTCCCCTTCCAGCGCACAAGGAAGTGTTAAAGAGGGTGTGGGATTTCTGCCCCAATGGAGTCACATGCAAACTGATCGCACCTCTCATAATGGTTGCATGTTTAGAAAGCTGAGCACACTTGACTAAGTTCACAAGAAATCATAATTTCTACCCAACCAAGTAACATGCAATCTGACTCACACTCCTCCCATTGGCTGCATGTTACAAAAGCAAAACTGAATGCTAAACTAGGTCCACAATCAATCAGATTGCTTCCCTCCCTTCCTAGCGCATGGAGCAATGGAAAGCCAAGTGGCTAAATTTTTGCCATGTGTAGATCACTAACCAATCAAGGGCAGCTCCTGAAGGATTCTTAAGATGAGGTTAGGATAGATAAAAGATTGGGTTGAACCTAAAATGCTTCTTAGGGCCTCTAGGCCTTCGGCCATCACATGAAAAGGGACCAAAAATTATGAGTCCAATTGTTCCATTGCTTTATGAGTTAGCCCACTAGTTTATTAATTTCCAAGTCACCTACGTATTATAAGGCTTCCTATTTGTTACACTTAAATCGTTCCTATATTTTTAACAAAAGTTTCAAATGCCTAAAATAAATAATCACCGTAATTGTAATTCGAATAATTCCCTAAATCAAATTAGTTCCAATATAGAGAAAATAGTTATATAATTTGGAAGAAAAAGCATATATTAACATATAATTCGAAATTCAGACATGCATCCATATTCTTCATAACAATTATATATTTTTCCTAATTATGTGGGATGTTACAGGTGGGGCCCACCTCACTCAAAATCACTTTAGAAACATAAGCATAGGTATTATTCATCATCACATTCTCTCCTCACCTTTATCAAACTCGCGGCCCTCCCCTTCCCAAAGCCTCATTTTCATTTCAAACTTCATTCTCCTCTAACTCCATCAATACCTAACTGAATCAAGTGATTTTTGACTTGAAATTTGTTGGAAATCACCTCCCAAACACATTGGTGGTAGTCTTGAGCCATGAAATCCACTATATTTTGAGAGAGAAAACCCCCAAACCCGCGGCCTTTTGGTGGAGATTTGTGTTCATGGAGTTGCTAGGAGCTCCAATGGTTTAGTATGTCTTGGAGGAGTTTTAGGCCAAGTTATTGAGTAAGTTTCATCACTTTACATTGGTTGGATTGTTGATTGGGATTCATGAACCCTAAGTGCATTTTGTATGATTTGTGTTATTAAAGAGCTCAAATGGAAAATGTGTATTATATAAATATGTCTTAGAATGATGTGTTTGAGCTATAAAAGCAATAAAAATTATTGAGAAAATGTGCTCATAACTTAGGAAAATTTGTATGAAATGTCATGACTTTGTTTTGGAGATTGTTATTAGGGTTGTGTAATTGGATTGTTGTATGGTTGTATGATGTAATAATAGGATTGTATGATGTGTGGAGTAGTTGAATTGGATGGAATAATCCTTGGTATATGGCTTGGTGCAATTCGGTCATAATGGGTAGAATGAGGAATATGATGTTGTGGAATTGTATGATTGGTATAATGTGTTGTTAAATGGTAATTAGAAGGGTTGTGTGATGGTTGGCAGCTTGGAAAAGCAATGGAAAAGTATTGGATGGTGTTGGAATATGTATTGGACCTAGAGCGAATTAATTGGCAAAATGATGTTTGAATGATGTAGGATGCAAATTGTCACCTAAAATGACATTGGGGTAACCTTGGGATGCTTAAGAAAAATGAAAAGAAAATAAAGAAAAATATTTTGTAATTTTGCACTACAATGGCCGAACCTACCATGGTGTAAGTGAGGAATTTGATGTTTTTGGATTTTGATAGAATTACCGTGTGTTGATGATCTGTACATGGTCATTGTAGGTTGCCGTACATAGATTTGAACCCCGAACCGTGAGCTCGGTGGGTTGCACTTGGTCCCAGACCAAGTGGGATTGTGGTGAGTATTTTGGAACCATGCTTGTTGAATTAATAACTTGCATATGGTTGAATGAATGGAAATTAATTGGGAATGTCCTATGTGTAGGCGTTTCTGTTGTGTAACTAGCTCAGAAAATATATTGCATTGGAGCTACATGGAGAGGATTATACAGGTAACCTCTTGGTATTGGGGCTTGATCTCCTTGTGTGTTCCACCATGCCCGTTGAGGATAATGGTAGGAAGTATATGTAAATAATATAGGATAACATGATCATGCATATTGTATGTGTGTTGGTACATAAGATGTACCGTGTCTCTGGCCAGTAGACTGTTTTCCTTCGGGCGTTACGGACTTCCACTGGATAGGTCTCCGTGAGGGAGTTCCAGTTGACCTGGGGTCGTGGTGTGTGATCCGGATAGGAGCACACTAGGAAGTCTCTGGTGGATATGGATGGAGGGTTCCTTGGTTTGATGTTCTGGGAACACGCCTTGGTTGAAACCCATAGGCTTATATGTCAAGCCAATAGGCTGGATGTTGCGTGGTTTTGGCATCGACCATTCCAGCTTTGTCGTATTTTGTATCCCTATGCTCCCCTATTTCACTAAATCCCTTGTTTTATCCCATTTTCAGATGTTATGTTATATTATTTATATGCATCGAAATGAGCCATTGGGCATAGTATTCTCCAGAACCTCTGGGTTACTGAGATATATTCGTATATCTCACCCCACTTTGGGGGCTTTATTTCAGGAGGTAGCAGTGGAGTTGGAGCGGCGGGCAAGAAGCCCACAGGATGATTCAGACATAGGATTCTGTTTATTTTGTATTTTGGTGGCCATTGGGCCTAGGATAGACTTAGGTCATGAACAATGCATATGATTAGGAGATGATTATCATTTTGTTCATGATGTATTTTGTCTAAGTTTAGTCTTGATTTATCATGTTTATTTTGGAGTATTTATTATGTTTTACTTGGAGGTTATGGTTTGTGAATTGTAATATGTCATTTGGAGGATTTGTAATTTGTACATGAAGACCTAATGTAATATTGAAGTATGTAATATGATGAAAGGGAAATAGGCCTATTATAGGGTTGATTTATGTTTTATGTTGCAAGAAGCATAAAAATGAATATTGTGATTGGAATTGATTAAATTGAGGAAGTAAGCATGAATGATGTATAATGATTAACTTGGATATAAACTATGTGGGTTGTAAGAGCACCAAGCCATTGATGGTCCTTCTGTGCCACCCAATGATTATTAGGTACAATTTGGGGTCATAGAACACTTTTGCAAACTTGGGGATTATTGGAAAAACAAAGAAAACTCTGGCGAATTTTCTAGAAATTGGCATAAATTAGGTGAACTTTGGGAGAGCATATCTCCCTCCATAGAGGTCCGATAGGGACGTTACATACGCCGTTTTGAATCTTGAGATCTCCTCTATCACGTGTCAAAATATGAGGAAATTCTGGGTTGGGAGTCGGCCTGTAGAAGTCTAAGAACACGGACTACCCATGTTGCCGCTGCACATGAGGCAGTTCTGGAGCGAGATTGGGAAAATTATTTTTGCTTCATTTCTTGATCCAATTATGTGTATAATATGTAAAATTTAAGCTTGAGGTGTCTAGTATATGGTATAAAAATTTGATAGCAATTGGTTGAGTGGAATTTCCAGAATAATTGATTGAGCGAAGACTGTTTGGAGCTGTTTTGGGGTTGGCTGACGGATTTACTTGTCCAACTTCAAACGGCAATTTCCAGAGCAAACGAGAACTTTATGACTCGTGTGATAGCTTCCTAGAAATTTAATGGAGTCTAGAATAACATACTAAAATATGGGAGGCTTGTAGAATGCGGTTTGTCCGCAGAAAATTAAAGACCGAACCATATTCGGGTAGGTAGAAAACGTAAAAGTGAGATTTTAGCTAAGTGGGTTTATGAGAACCCCTTAGTGACTTGAGAGATGTAATATATGTTATAAAATTAGTTTAAATAATTATTCCGCAAAGAGTTTACAGTTACGGTCACAACTTTTATTTATTATGCTTTTTATTGTTTTAAATGGTCGCGTATTAAACGGAAAAAGTTTACTCGCATTTTTATAATGAATTGTTGTGATTGTAACTGCTCTTAATATCATAATTAATGTTAACAATATAGGTGTACAACGGGCTATTACAAAGATCAACACCATCTGGGTACTGACGCTTTGAGAGCAAGATCAACGCCATCTTCGTTGGATCAAAAACTTCCGAACAAGTTCGCAAGAATGGAGTTGTCAAATTTCAAAGGCACAAAACTTCATACCAGGAGACCTAACACGGTACGAAGTGAATTGCAATCATCATAATATTGCTCACAACCATCTCAACCACTATTTGGGTCTAGAGGCTTCTTCACCCACCATGAACCCAAAGTGTTCGACGAAAGTACACACAAAAACCATCTGGGTACTGATGCTTTGAGAGAAAAATCAATGTTAGTCTTTGTTGGATCAAAGATCTATGCAGGTTCCTCCAAGAAATTCTGATGTTCTTTCAAAAGAGAGTTGTGCCTCTGTTCTTGGTGCTTTAAAAAATTCCCCACCTGGTTCAAAGGGAAATGATGCATAGAAGCCTCTTTTCCAACCCGACGGCCCCCACATTATAACATCTCACATAATTGAAAATGCATAATTATGATTGAATTATGGATTAGAGGGTTTAATTGGTGAAAATCTTGAGTTTCGGGTGAAAATACATTCAAAGGGCAAAATGGTAATTTGACAATTACTGAACCCTAAATGGGCGTTAAAACGCGCTTACACCGAAGAAAAATGATAAGTCCCCTGTTGGAGAGCGTTGTAACGTGCAAATGAGCGTTACAACGCGCAAAGGATACCTGTGGTGGGCGTTATAACGCGCAGTTGGGCGTTATAATGCGCTATAGTGTATTTCCTTCGGGCCTCGAGTGTTTTAACGCGCTATTGAGCGTTTTAACGCGCTACCAGAAAGAAAAATGGGTTCGATGAGCGCGTTGTAATGCTCTGGAGAGCGTTAAAACGCGCTACCCAAAATCAGCTCAAACATAGTTTAGTAAAATTTGCATAACTTGAGCTACGGTGTTGAAAATTGAGCGCAGTTTGAACCCACGCGTAGCTAACGAAGAGAGCTATAACATAATAAGAGATTAGAATCATAAGGGAAGTGTGGAATTAATTGCGTAGTAAGAAAAAGAGTGAATACACTAGTGCTGAACATGAATAAAATAAGTTTTTAGCTTCATTGGTTTATGGGAACCACTTAGCATCTTTAAACGTAAGTTGTATGGTATTAAGTTATAGTATTCGTATTTCCGCAATAAGTTTTGAGTTAGGATCACAATTAGTAAAATGTCTAATACGATTATTTTAAAAGTACAAATGATATTAAAAAGAAAAAGTTTACCCGTAATTTAATTAACTCAATTACTGTGATTGTAACTGCGCTTAATACCATATGCAATGATAACATTACCAGTACGTAACGGGCTGTTACATAAATCATCAACTAGACTTAAGCAAAATATGACATGAGCAAAGATGACAATATGTATAATCCTAAATCAATATACAATGTTCATGCCCTAAGTCTAGCCTATGCCAAAGTGGCCTCAAAATGCAAAAATCCTCCAATCTCCAAGTGCTCATCATGTGGGCCTCTTGCCCACAGCTCCAGTACCACTGCAACTACGTGAAATAATGCCCCAAACACGAGATGAGATATACGAATATATCTCAGTAACCCAGAGGTTCTGGAGATCACTCCGCCCAATGGCTCACTAAGGTGTAAATCAATAATGCACTATAACAACCAAAACAGGATAAAGTAAGGGATTTAGTGAAGTAGGGATGCATAGGGAATAAAAATACGATGAATCTGAAATGGTCGAAGCCAAAATCACGCAACATCCGGCCCATTGGCCTCAACATATAGCCTACGGGTTCTGGTCCAAGGAAGTGTTCCAACTGGAACTCCCTAACGGAGACCTATCCAGTGGAAGTTCGTAACGCCCGAAGGCAACTATCTACTGGCCAAAGACACGGTACATCCTATGTACCCAATATACATACATATATGCATGAGCATGTTATAACACATTATCAACATACACCTCCAACTACTACCCCCAAGGGGCATGATGGAGCATATACAAGGTTAACCCTAGTACCAAAGGATTACCTTATTGAAGCTCCCAAGCTAGGCAGCTCCAATGCAAGTTTTACCGTAACTTCTTCCACTCAGAAATGCCCAAATCCTTTTGGTCAATCCTCAAGGATAACGTCCGTGGGAGGCAACCTACAACGATCACACATAGGATCATCAATCCACCTGTAAACCAAGTTAAAACACAACATCAATTCATGCTCATCCAACCAAAATTTTCCTAATATTCTTATACTTAACCATCATAATCTAAGTATCACAAGCTTTCCAACGATATATCATAAGCCTTATTTTGATAAGTACAGCCCAAGATACGTCTGCTGTAAGTAGTAAACTGAAAACCCAACGTCACTAGAACAGGGTCGCAGACTATTTATTTATTCTGGAATGATCTACCACCCAGTTTATTATGTAATTTTTATAAAAAATACTAGACATCTTAATCTTTAATTTGACACAAGAATCGTTCTGTTTCGTTAAGTAACGAAGGAGATATGAATTTCGCAAACTCACTGTTGCTTGCTGTAAAACTGAAACGAGAACGAACAATGCCCCTAATTCTTTTTGAAAACTGTAACGTGAGCTCATAAAATTCTCATATTTTAGGACAAGAAACTAGACGTCCTAAGCTTCAATTTGGTACCTCACAAACGCCATTTGGTTAAGAATTGATTGAGATATGATTTTTCTAAAACTAAGGTCACTACTACGTAAAATTCTGACAACACTTAAAACCTTTACATCCATACATTTTTTTTACACCATAAAATGTCAAAGTAATTTAAACTTTGTTCTCTCATCACCATAGCACATAACATACCTTAATCTTTCATGACAAACTCTAAAACAATCTCATAGCCTAATTTAAAGCTCAATGGCCTAAACCTACATAACAAAAGGAATTTCATGCATTAATGCAACTTCTAATCAATGAACCATAATCTTACCACTAAAAACATATTATTAACTTAACATAACATCATTAAAATCATCTCCATGTATCTTATTCATGCTAGGCTGAATTTTTCATTTAAAGTTCATCAATTTTCTTATAAACTAGTTACCATTTTCTTCACTTAAATCCTAATAAAATCATTCCAATTTCATGATTCCTCTTAGGCAATACATCAGACACTTGATATACATAATCAAACACATAATTTACCTATTTTATCACATGATGACCGCTTTGTCTAGTTTAAGGTTTAATGAATTCTCTTTCAATTTTTTTATCACTTGAACCTTCATCAATACAAATAATATCTTTTATTTCATTTAGCCATATTATCAAACACTTGGTGTGCTTATTTTTACACACAAAATTTGGACCATATAGAATCCATTAAACTCATCCCTTTGGAGATTTCAATCATTCAACCAAAACTTCATCAATTAATCCCACTTAAGGACTTGAAAACAATCAATATTTCATCATACTATAACATAAATAACATGATATTAACTTCACAAACTCAGCCCCCAATTTCATAAACCTAATAATAAATCCATGTAATTTAACTAAGGAAAGGTAGTTTAATTACCTTAAACACCACTAGAAGACTACTACTTCGATTTTACTTCAAAAAGGCATGAAAATCCATCATCACACCAAGAGGACAGCTTGATATGCGCATGGAGAAGAGAAGAAAAGCATCTTCATATGATCTCTTCAAGAAGGAAAAAACACAAGATTTTACTCTTCATTCACTAAGGAATCTTTTTTCTCAATGGAGCTAGATGATTTAAACACTAGAATAACATGTTCTCTCATCACCCTTCCCTCCAAGCATGCCTCGATTTTGAAGAAGACAAGTGCAGGTTTTTCGTTCCTTTTCTCTTTTGATGATCGTCCAAGTGATGCACTAAAAGATAAATCCTCTTTATTGACTTACAAGGCTATTTTCCAAAGGTGGTGGGTTCTTATTGGCTAACATAATAGCACTCTAAATCCCCCCCACTTTGTGCGCTGATGAGGGAACATAAAAGGGTCAGATTTTTTTTATTTAATTACTACCAACAAGTATTAATAACTTACACTACAAAAAGATATGTCATTTGTGGGGGTTATTTTCTAGAGGTTTATAAAACCCCCAATAATTATTTATATTGTGGCATTTTAAGGAAAAACCACACTGTATTTCGATTTCTTGTTATCTTTTGTAGTTTTGTGGCAGGTTTTGACCCCTAAAATATGTATAATTTTAATTTTTTAAAAATTTCTAACACTACAAGAAAACATCATTCTCCACATTCGTTGATCACATTTATAAAGAATATCGCTAAAATATAAAAAATCCCAAAATCTGCTACGTATTAATAGTTGGGGGAAGGATATTGTAACAACCAAGTTCTATTACTATCATGTTACTACCAATCAATCTCACTGTTAGATCGATTATGTTGATCCAACGGTTATATTTATTTTCATCTTTGTATAGTTATGATTCCCCATATTTAAAATGAAAGCATTAAATATGAAAAATCATAATCATACAAAGGTGTCAAAATAAATATAAAGTATTAAATTTGGGAAATCATGGCCATACAAAGATGGAAATAAATATAACCGTGGGATCAACATAATCGATCTAACAATGAGATTGATTGGTAGTAACATGGTAGTAAGTTGTTACAATATCCTTTCCGTAATAGTTGTAACAAAATTATTAGCTTTTTTTATTTATCTCTTCTTATTTATTAAGGGTGTGCATGACAATCATTCTATTTCCTAACACTGTTTCTGAAAAGAAACAATTCTTTTCTATTTCTGTGCCTTGGAACAGTTTTTGAGAAAAAAATGTGTTTGATAACATGTTCTATTTTTATTCCGAGAATGAGAATTGTGTTTGATAACATAACAAATAATATAATAAAAAATAATTTCTATTAAATATAAAAAAAATTTGGATCATCACTTTTATTTTCATATGGTGTGGTTGTGGTGGTGGTGGCGACGGCGGCAGTATTGTAGCGGTGGTGGCAGTGACATGGTGATGATAGTGGTGGTTATGACGGCAGTGGCTGCGGCGATGGTGGTAGTGGTGGGGATGGTGGTGGTGGAGGTGACGACAATGGCTGCGACAATGGTGGTAGAGATGGTGGTTGATAGCGGCAACAATGGTAGCGGTGGAATTTTTGGTGAATTCTTCCCTTTAGCTCATTGTATGTAGTGCCCCGTTTGATTTTCAACATTTTCGTTTTTCCTTCAAATTGAACACCATTGGAGCCTTCATAATGTTTTCCATCACAGTAGATCATTGTTACATACATGTTTGGACTTGTTCTCATCTTTCACACGAATTTGGGAGTAGGGTTCTAAAATTGGGGGTTTGGGTTCGGATTTTAGGGGTTTGGAGTTGTGCAATGACAATGATTTCACAATATTAAGGCTTTAGGGATGGTGGGATGAGATTGATTGTGATTGCAAGGATTACACATGACAAAGGAGAGAGATATTGGTTTACACAACGTTAATATTTGAAATGAGACTCAGAACTTGCAAAATATAGGATTTCTGACGACATTTAATCAACTAAATTGTGATGTAGTCGATTAAAAATTCCGAAATTTAATCGATCAAGAGGGATAATCGACTAAATTTTGTGTCAATGAAATTTCTAAATTTTGACCATTTAATCGACTAAACCTTCAAGTTAGTGATTAAAGAAGGGCAGGTTGGTGGATAGTTCTGGATGAGGAGAAAATTGGTTATTAATTAATTAATGAGGGGCAAAAGAATCAAGAACCCAGGAATTAATAGCATTTCTTTGTGACACTAGACTACTAATTACTTTTTTTATCCCCACCCCTGCTCACCCCATGGGTGTCTTAATTCCATCACATTACACAATACAAATATGATACAAATTTTATTTATATCAGAATCTTTGACATAAACACAATCTACAAATTTTACGAGTTGACATGACACGATACGAATAACACGTAAACTATGAATCAAAACGGTAATTGAAAAAATACTCCTGGTAGGAATTGCTTCTGTTAAACATTGTACTACTATGTATCTGCAGATAGAAACTACAAAAAATGATTAAGCAATACTTATAAAAAAAATAAAAAATAAAAAAAAATAAAAACTCTTCTTATATAATAGTGTATAGATTGGGTTTCCCTCACGTTGATGTTGGTTAGATTTGGTCGCAGTAGTGCATCGTCTGTTTATTGATAATTTGGAGAGAGAGAAAATTATAGTGGGGTGATGGATGTTTTGCTTTATGTAAAATAGATAACTTCGATTCTAGGTGGGAACATAGAAACAGCAAAATATCCAAAGCCTAAATTTGCCGTAGTTTTGACAGATCAAGACTAACCTTTGACTTTAAGAATGAAAGGTGTTGAAATCTGAAATAAAATTTGATTTGATCATTTAGCTAAACTATATTTCATGGTGTAAAGAACTTTAGGATACACCATCTCAAAAGCTAGCTCAAGGGGTGGGAGTGCTCAAGATCTTATAAAGGCCATATTAGTTGCCCACACAATTAATGTGGGACTATATATCTCAATACGCCCCCTCACGCAAGAGCCATTTAGGCTAGAAATGTGGAAATTGCACAGGTCCAATTTTGGTTTATCTTTTTGTACTTTTTATTTTAATTCCACTTGAAAGTAGGAGGTCGTGAGAATCGCTCTGATACCATGTAAAGAACCTTGAGTGAGATTAGTCAAGAGTGGAGGATGCATAAGAGTGACTACACGTTGAGATTTAAAAAAAAAAAAGAAAAAAAAAAGACGAACATATGTAATATAAAAATCGTATATAGAGGTGACTGCGAGATCTTAAACAGCATTCAATATTTGCGTTAGCATCACGGCTTTTATATAGAATAGAGGGGAAAATAAACAAACAAAATGTTACTTGGATTTGTTGTTGTCATGTGTATAGATAGGGGACCAAATGGGTGACAACTGACAAGATGAGTTACCCATTCATGTTATTATGTGTATGGTATTTATATTTAATGATTCTCTTATATCTTTATCTTCCATTCGTGCACGTTTGACTTTTATATAAGGGATTTGTATTTATCATATCACATGACACAAAAAAGTTTTCTACACATACAATATTTTGTGGGACCTGCATTTCTTAAAGCAAAAAAAAATTAAAAAAAATTAAGGCACGCAAAACGAATCTCTATAACATTACTCAATCAATTTTCCTAGAACATAACTCTTATAAAACCTTTTATATAAATATGAAAGAAAGGCCCTTTTCCATAAAAGGAAAAAAAATTGTGAATCTCTTCCTTTTCTCATTGAAGTGTCTATTTATTATGATCATGAGACCGTCAAAATGAATTTTAGGGAAAAAAATGTTTTATGTATATGTTATATGTATAACTAATATTTACAATTTTAAGGTACATTTTTCCAAAAGAAAGTTTTTTATTTTGTGTATGTTTTTTTATATAGTGTTACAGCAAAGAAAGGCGATATATTATTAAAACTCGCAATCTCTTCAGAAGGAATAACTATTGTTCTAAAAACGAAAATGTCATTTTCCAGCGTAAATCAAATCAAATGATGGGGAATTACGTAAAGCTGGGTAGCAGTAGCGTGAGAAATTTTGCCAACAAAACGACATGATTAAACTGAGGGTAAAACTGAATTCTTAACACAGGAGTAAAAAATAAAAGAGTAACACGAAAATTTTAACAATTTGTGAGTTTTATTCGATGAGCACTGATGGCTGAAGCAACCCACCATGGACTAGTCAAATTCAACAGTGTCCGTCAAAACTTTGGGGAGGAAGACAACAGTTTTCAAATACTAGAGGTTGAAAAAAGCTGAAAGTGCTTCTGGACAAATAGTGCCAATAGGAATTTTTATTTTTATTTTAGTAAACGTGCCAATAGGAAATTTGACTATAAATAATTGAAGGTTCTATAACCTGTTTTGAAGAGAGGGAAAACAAATATATAATGGAGGAAAATTTTGTAAATGAAAACAAGATAAACCGGGCCCAAATTAATTGAATTCCAAAAGTGCCCAAATCTGACATGTCCAAGACTCGAAATAGCTATTTGAATTAAAATGGTAGGGTCGGAGCCCACAGCCCCCTACAAAATTTCTCGCCGAAATCCACGGGCCAGAGACATTCTCTATAATGTGATATATATCGAAGCATCGCAAGGAGGGGCACATCAACTGTTGATAAGTAGGGTTTAATTTTTATTTTTATTTTATATATATATATATATATATATATATATATATATATATATATATATATAAGATTTATATACGATCATATGAAGGGAAGAAAGAAAAAGAGAAAAAATATATATAATATTTGATAAAAAAAATGATAATTTGATTGATTTTACTTACTGAAAAAATTTATTTACTTAAAAAAATAAAATAAGTATAACTTAGGACTTAATGTTTCTCATATTATAAAAGATAAAATTATCTTCTATATACAAATAAAAATATGTGGAGCCCATATTTTGTCTTTCTCTCTCTTCTCCTCACATGACTCTACACATTTTTTTATATATATAAGAGATAATTTTATCTCGTACAACATGAGACATTAAACCTTATAAGTTATTGCACTCTTGCTTATAGTCTAGAGAATAGGAACTATGATTAGATAGTGTGCTTACTCCAAGAAATTTTTTTAGGAAACATGATCCAAATAACATAACCCTTTCCGAATATAACAATAATAAAGACATGAATTAAATTGAAATAAGAATACTCTTATATTTCTCTAACATATTTTCTCATGGCTTATCCAAGAGTCTTTGAACTTGAAATATGAATATTATAAAGATTTATTTATTTTTCCATCTTGTGTT